GAGGGGTAACTCTAGAATCCTTTTGTCATTGCCTTTGCTGCCCAACCCAGACCCCGCCCCACGCCCTGCACCCCCACCCCCATCCCTGCTAGACTCTGAACCCTATGGAAATGAAAGCAAGAAGGCAGCAGACTTCAGGTAAACACTGAAAAGGGTATTTTACTAAAGTCAAGGTTAAAAATTAGGATGCAAGCTAACCTCCTTCCCTGCCCCCACACCCATGACAAAGCAAAACATAAAAGGGGGAGCGAGGCTCCTCCACCCACATTGGGCAGCTTTGGCACCTTGCAATAGCCAGTGAATGAATCAGCAGCAGCCGTGGCCAACTGAGGCCCATTGCCCAGAGGCACCAAGAATGGTTTCTGGCTTCAGAACAGGGCCAGGACAGAGAAAGAGCAAAAATTTTTTTAAATGCAATCTTTGTGACAACTGACCAGACCTGTTCTTGAGCGCACTAGGGATGTCCAGGGGACTTAGAGAGAAGGGGTGCCCACCATTCCAAGTGGAAAACGTGCCAGAGAAGTGTTGACTAAAAAATTACTACCAATTTTCCTACCAATATTTGGGACTCTGTGCTACCAGAGATAGGCCTTGGGCAGCTAATCACAGGTTGGATGATTTATACCCACCAGGCACTCGGAGAGAAAAATGAAGCTAAATGTTCCCATAAAGATTGACAGGCTCGGACCCTATGTAGTGTCTGAGTCAGAACCGAGTTTGGTTCAGGTTGAGAGGGGTTGGAACCTGCTCAAGGGCAGTCGGCTCTCTTCTCTCCGCAGGCCAGTTTCAGGAGCAGCTCGCAGGATGCTACTCTAGGAGTAGTTGGTGATGACAAACTGCTGAGTTTGCAATAAGCAGCCCAACAGGTGTCCCACAGCGTGCCCCCAAGGTTTCTTCTTGTCTCCTTCCTTATCTATTCTAAATTCACCGGTTCAGGCAGCATCCCCACTGGTCTCAGTAGCTAAACTGGTGCCGCAGACAGTACGGCAAACCCACCAGCAAATCCCATTGGCTCTACTTCCAAATAATGCCTCAACGTTGACCTCTTCTTCTCGCCTTTCGCCGCTTCCACCCTAGTCTCTCACTGGGAATGTTGCAACAGCCTCCTGACTTACGGTATCTTGGACTCCAAGGCAATCAGTCATGTTCTAAAAACCAATCATATCACATCATTTCCTGCTCAAAACCCTCTCGTGTTGGAGGAGGGGGATAATCTAAACTCTTGGCCTGGCTTTGAAGCCTTCCTGGGTCTGGCCCAGACTGTAACACATCTCCTCTCTCTCTCCTTTTACTTCAGCTACCTTGCTCACCTGGTGGTGGTGGTGGTGGTGGTGGTGGTTGCTGTACAGAGAAATGCTCCATCGGCTTTGCTTGGCTGTAATCTTAAGAGAAGCTCATTGCCAGGAAGGCCTGGGTGGGCTTGAACCTTCAAATCTTTAGCATAGCAGTTGAGCGCAAACTGTTGATGCACTTGCCACAGGGCCTTAGCACTTCCTGTCGCCTCTGCCTGGGATGCTTTCCCACCAGCTCTTCCTGCTCTGCTCCCCGTCTGCATTCAGGTCTCAGCTCAAATACCACCACTTCAGCGATGCTTCCCCTGGCCCCCGAACACCATACCTAGTGATCCCCGCACACACACCCCTTTCCACCTACCCTTACCCTGCTTTATTTTCCAGAGCAGGGGCTTTGGTCTCCTCACTGTCTGGCCTGTGAAAAGACTCAATAACTACTTTGGGAATAAATAAATGAACACAGACACGGATGGGTGAGCATATTTGCCAAGAAAGCCTAGCAGAGCCCATCCTCCTCCCCACCCCTCTGTTCTTGGCTATTGAGAATCCACCCATCTTGTCACATGTATACCCCCAATCCCCCCTCTTCCTATTGTGTGTATATCCCTAGATTGTCCCCCTCATTGCTGTATAACCCATAGTGCAACCCCTTCCTGTGACGTATGTCTTTACCTGTAATTAGTGCGCTTGCACTCCCCGCCAAATATATATAGGCCTGAGTTAGCAATAAAGAGTTCTCTCTTGACTCTTCCCTTGACCTCTTGGTTGGCTCCCCTTCTCCTCTCCCATCCTTGCTCCCCTGTTCCCTTTCCCCTTGTCCTCCT